GCAGAAACATTCCACATTCGCAAAATCACGCGTTCTTCGACGTCTTTATGATGTGGGAGGGTGCTGTGGCGCTTGCCACGCGTGCCCGGCATGTCTCGACCACGGACACAACTTGCCCGTATGCCGCATGAATAGGGATGATGCCTGATATTGCAATGCATCATTACACACCAACATCAACGACACGAGTCCTCCCCCGCCCGATGCATGGCATGGCACTCGCCATCACCGCCCGCGTCAACCCCTCTATTTTTCGTGGGATATACAGGTATTTGACTCGTCGCTTGCTCTGGGCAACCACTTTTTCTTTTCCCACCACCCACCACTGCCCTGACGCCCCCTCCCTCCCCCCTTGTGGCTCCGAAAAATCCAACCACAGCTACGCCACCCGTCACACCACGCTTTGCCTCTCATCAGACGTCGCACCCGCATGGCCACCTGCCCCGCGGAGGGCTGGAAAACACATGTGGGCTATTTTTTCTTGGCGCTCTGACGCTTCAGCATACCGCTCGCTGCAGCCGCGATTCCCCCCCCAAGGGAGGAGGGTTCTTTAATACCCTTTTTAAAACCACAAATTCAGCGTTCTTGGAGGCCCCAACCGCCTCACGTGCTGTTGCACGCGTGTTTCATCGACGGTGGACGCGTGTCATGATTTTGGAAGTGGGGAGAAGTGCTGGTGGATGCGTCTATGAATCATTGCCTCCCCCTCCTCTTCTCGGGGCTCTATCAGATCGAGAATGCTTTTTCTCGATTACCTTTGTTTCCTTCCACCGCCTTGCGTACCACCCATGCACCGTGCCTGTGCCTGGTTCCTTGAAATGTGCCGTTGCGAAGCACGCCGGTGTTTGAAAGGGAGGGGGAGGACGACGGCAGCCTCTGGCCCGGATTGTCACGAATCAGACGTCGAGACTTCAATGTGCTGGGTCTCCGTGATGATGAAAACATCTTTTTACTGTATTTACGGTGCCAAACCCCCTGCGAGGGGGACAGCGCGTCGTCGTACCGCCCTTGACACACCTTGATGGGCAATGGGTGCATAATTTCAGTTGTCTGTGTGGTTTTTCACGCCTTTTTTTCCCCACCTGTCCTCTTCCTAGGGTCCCGTCGAGACTCGAAAGGCACCGGCTCCTCATCCCAATCAATCATTCGCACCAAATTAATCAAAGTATTCCCTCACGCCCCGAGGCCTGTGAAGGAGAAGGCCCTCCAGGTAGGCAGGAAGGACGTCCCTCTCAATCATTCGTGTCGCGGGTCGTAAGTCACGGACAAGGTGGGGAGGGGGTGAGGAGTCCCAGGCGCGTCGGAGGGAAAGGGAGGGAGGACGAATTGACATTGAAAAAAAGGGCATGCTTGGATGCTTTGAGGGAAAGGGAGGGAGGACGAATTGACATTGAAAAAAAGGGAATGCTTGGATGCTTTGTGGGAGGAGGGAATCGCCGTTGGGGTGTCAACGTGCTTTGAATCCTTTTCTCAATCACGCTCCCTTCAACGTAACCAGGCATGCCTCCAACCGCTCTCGCTACCCTTCATTTTACAAAAACAGGATAATTATTAAAAGTAAGCATAGGTGCATCCACTTGCTCTCTTGAAGTTCTAAAGCCACGTCCTCCGCCTGAGTGTCCCCGCAGTCTCCGGTACGCCCTCCCTCCCTCC